CTCGGAGGCGACCTTGGACTGTGAGCCGACTGAACAGTATTCGCAGCGACAGATCGACTGTGAATCCTGTTACGTGACTGTGACACAGCTGAATTCTGATCTCCTGCTGCTCGGAGGAAATCTCTGATCTGCATCAAGCCTCTTCCAGCCTCTGACTGAGAGGGCTGAATTGACTCCGCTATGCGGGCTGCAGCTGCCAAATTCTGAATTGGGGTTCGATATACCTGAGTAGGTTGCGGAAAGAGCTGACGTCGATTGGAGTTAGTCGCTCGTTGACGCGCACGCTCGTCGAGTGCTCGCTGAAGGTTCTCCAATCGAGTGCGTTCAGCCAGGTTGGCTAAACGCGCCTCTTCCAGGGCACGAGCCTCAGGAGTTTCTCCTGCAATGGGAGTATGCAGGGCATCCATGTTCCGGCGGCGAAGTTCTTCCCGCTGCTGGGAAGTGAGCGGCTCGGGTTGGTACTCTTCATGGGCGTGAGCAGGGTCGTCCTCGTCGTCCATCCCGTCGCCGCGGGGGAAACCGGGAGGACTACGGGGCCCGTTGACCATCAGGACCTCCGCCACCGGATCACTACTATCGCACTCGGATGCAGTCTCTACGGAGCCATTCGACAGGTTGAACAGGCCGTAGAGAGATTCATCGGGCTCAATTGCCGCGACTTGGGTGGTGGCCGATTGGCGAGCCACTGCGTGTCTCACCCATCGCTGGAGCCTCGACCGACCGGAGCGCTTGCGCTGGCGGGAGACAGGGAGGGAGGACGGTGCAGGAGTCGACCGATACGGGGTCGACGGCTGCCGCAGCAAGACGCCGCGGACACACGCCCGAAAGTGCGTCGCCCCGCGGACGGGGAGCGCGTCGATGTCGAGTGGTGCCTCCTGGAGCCAAGCGGAGTCGTCGGCGATAAAAGTGAGCGCACCGAGACGGATCTCGTGGCCCTCGACCAGAGCTCCGCCGGAAACCATGATGAAGGCGATCGGACAGATTGCAACTTCTCCAAAAAAGTCGCTAAGACACCTGCCCCACGGTGGGTGCCAACTGTCGTGGTTCTAAGTCTGAGAGTAGAATGGGGGGTAAGTATGGAAAGGCAAGGTCCTAGCTATGGAGTAGTTGTACACACGGATGTTTAGCGAGTTCAGGCCCTTCTCTGAGGAAGTAACAACCCTACGTCTCGGAGCCCGGAGGCGGTCGACTAATCTCTGTGTATATGAGTTACAGGGGTGCGAACCCTTCTACCAGTGGAGGGGGTGGCTTATATAGAGGACGCCAGGACCCCAGCCAGCCCACGTAGAGGAGGGTTAAAGTACATTAAGGCTGGGCGTTACTGGTAACGCCCTACATAAAGTGTCATCATGACCATTAAGACTATTCAATTACAGATCGTTTGGATGCAGAGTAGATCCTGAACTTCTGATGGTAGAGTGCATCTTCATGGTCGAGTGTCTTCTAGCCAGTCGAGTGTTGTCTCCCTTGGTCGAGTGGAACTTCTCTTGGTCGACTGGAAGGTAGCTTCGTGTGATGATGTCCTTGGGCATGGTATCCTAGATAGGTCCATGACCCTACCCTAGGTATATAACCTCATCATGACTCTCGCGAAAGCACAACCGTGCCTCTCGCGAAAGCAAAACCATGACTCTCGCGAAAGAAAAAAAAACAGAAAACACGTTTTTTTCGTTTCCGAGAGGCACGGCCGTGACTCTTGCGAAAGCAAAACCGTGCCTCTCGCGGAGCAAAACCGTGACTCTCGCGAAAGAAAAAAAAACAGAAAACGCGTTTTTTTTAGTTTCCGAGAGGCACGGCGGTGACTCTCGCGAAAGCAAAACCATGCCAAAACCGTGCCTCTCGCGAAAAAACCGAATTTTTTTGGTCGAAAAGCTAGGGAAGGCCGGTGGAAAACCAAAACGTTGAAAAAACCCAAAAAACGTTTAAAAAGCCGAAAATGCGTGCGAAAAAAAACAAAATTCGGAGGGAGCGCCCAGAGCGCGACACGTGGCGAATGGCTGAGAGCGCACGTAGTGGCGCTGATCGTTGCGAGGCTCCCGAAGGAGCGCTCGTTAATTAGTTGCTCTCGCTTCAGGCTTATTGATGTATCACCTTGTATAGTCTTTGTGAATAATTAATAATATGGCTGCATGCATCGTCCAGATGCAGAGGCTGGAATACATCCTCCTTTTCTAAAAAAAAATATTGAAAAGTTTTAGGCCCTGTATCGGAAGAAAAAAAAAGCAAATTAACAAAATGAATAATAAACATGTTCAAACTTACATCCGTAATTGTACATTTGCAACTAAAGGTCTTCCGCCAGCCTCTCTCTATTTAGATTGCTACTTGATCAAGTAATGACCAGCGCATATTACTGACTAAATCTTTGGTGCAATACTTAAGCATTTCCTACCATGACAACCTGAGGTAAGATACAACATATCTAACCATTCTATAAAGGTATTTGTTAGACATGATTGATGTCAAACCATTATAATGCACTCTATAATGTGGAAGCAACACACGGACATTTGGCTAGTATATGTAGTATTCAAATGAGTTCATGCATAATTTGATTAAAACATGGTTTTCTTTTTTATAAACTCCGTCACACCTGAAAAATATTCCGGTCTCCGCCACTGTTCCGACAGACTGCGGTTCCCCACTTGCGGTGTGTGGGAATTTAGTCGCATACAAGAGCAGGGGTAGCGCCGTCACACGGTGGCTCCATCAGTTTATCTTGCTGCTTGGTGGTGAACCGGTAGGACGCGTAGGAGAGCGTGGCGTTGGACCAGCTGCGGTGGATGAGCTCCGCTTTGGCCTCCGGCCCGGCCGCACCGAGCGCGACGTGCAGCGGGTACAAGTGGTCCGGCCGCGGGTGCGCCACCTTGGCGAACGGCGCCGTCTCCTCGTACCGCTTCACGTCGTCGTGCCGTCCGTTGAGTAAAGACTCCCTGAGCCAGGCGTCGAACTCAGCCGCCCACTCCGGCACGGGCTCGCCGCTGGTGGGCGCGAACGTCCGCAGGATCCGGCCTAGGTTGTGCGTGGCGCTGCCGGAGCCGACAATGAGCACGCCGTCGTCCCGGAGCGGCGCCAGCACCCTGCCGAGGTCGTAGTGGTACGTGCCGTCGCGGTCCGTCTGCACGGAGAGCTGGCACACCGGGATGTTGGCCTCCGGGTACATGAGCATCAGCGGCACCCACGCGCCGTGGTCGAGCCCGCGGCCGTGGTCCTCGCTCACCGGCCCGAACCCGGCGTCCTCCAGGAGCTTCTTGGTCCTCATGGCCACGTCCGGCGCGCCCGGCGCAGGGTACACCAGCTACATACATATGTGCATAGGAGCAACGTCACTTTAAGCTGTATTCATATACTCCCTCCTCTGTCCAGATTTACTTGTCGCATACATGAATAAGAAATGAATGTATCTAAAGCTAGAATACGTCTAGATACATTTATTTCTTCGACACGTATTTTCAAAGAAAACGAGTAATACCATAGACAGGGATGTAGAATTATGAATTAAGGCGACCTTGTACATCCGGTCGGGGAAGCCATAGAAGTCGTAGATGGTGTCGTTGGTGCCACGGATGACGTTGACAGCCGGGGTGTCCGTCTCCCAGTGGCCGGACACGATCAGGATGGCGCGAGGCGGCTGCGGGCCGGCGAGACCGGCCGGCTCCCACGACTTGAGGAAGTGGCGCGCTGGCAGCGAGTCGTCGATGGAGAGCGTGGGCGAGCCGTGGGAGATGTAGAACGTGTCCATGGCCATCGTCAAGGACGCGCTGCCTGCTGCTACCCTTGGGTTCCTTCCTATGCTCCCGACCTGCTGTTTAAATATTCTCGTTGCCGTGTAACGCACAGTTGAACGGTGCTGCCTCGCCTGCTTTGTTAGCCTACCCAAAGCTTTTTCGGCGTGCTGGGTTGGTCCGTGGTCAAGCTCCTTCTTGTACCTTTCGAGTGGGCTCAGTGTGGCTGTTGGGTTTGGATAGAGCATCTGCAATGGAGTGCCATGTTTTGGCTGACAAGCGGCTGGTCGCTCTTTATCCTGTACTGGTCGTCGACATGGGCCTAGGGAAACGAAACGTGAAGTAAACACATAAGATCATTGGAAATTTTCTGATGGTGGCATGGTTCAGGCCTTTTATTCAAAGGAATGTAAGGGCATCTCCAATGCTGACCAGCAAAAGTCTCCGGTATATATTTATTTTTACAGCCGGTCTTCGTAGGCTGGACCCATGTCCGAGTTGATAAGAGCCAAGGGTTTCGCTGTCTCGAATTCACAACACGTTTGTAAAAGGACTCGTAATTAATTGTGAATTAATTATTTGTTCTTGACCGATAAAAATTAAGTGCACGCATGGCATAGGTCTAACCTTGGCTCGCACCTTCACGAAGCACGATGCGTGCATAGGCTAAAGAGGCGACGGAGAAGGAGGAGCGCGTGTGGACCACTCCTCTTCTAAAGCTTCTTATAAAGGGGTCTCAACTCTCTTTCACTTGTGCGGTGGGACTAAACTTCGCACCACCTTTCCATGACACCCACATGAGCCCGTAGATTTTTTTTTTCTTTAAAAATGTTTTATGGGCCTAAAGCCCTTCTCGATGTCAACAACATGGGTGCATCCCTCAAGTTAGTGGATGCAGTGTCCGAGCTTGGGATCAACCACGTCCGGACATATTGTGATCAGATGGACACCTGGACCGTTATCGACAAGGGTGAAAAGGAGGATAAGCAGCAACATAGGTGTGTTGAAATCCATACTTATTGGATAAAGATTGTGATTTTCTTTACCATTGCAATGGATGGGCATGTTTGCTAGTTATGACAAAAATAAAAAAGTAAACGAGCGCCGTTACATGCATACGCTTAGGGATAGTTAAGCCAAAGTTACAAGAGACCATATGCTACGGTATCCACGTAGGCTACGTAGATACCTAGCGCATGCTTTCTTCTTATTGAGTCATGCATTATATATATGCATGTACACTCGAACATTTGCATGCATGCATAGCGTAGCGGCATGGAAATCCCTCTCCCGTTGCTTCTCTCCACTTTTGCCATTTCCGTGACCATATGCTATGTCATCTTCTTCTTCTTCCACGCCGACAAGGGGCGTGCGCCGCTGCCGCCCGGGCCAAGGGGCTGGCCGGTGCTGGGAAACCTCCCGCAGCTCAGCGGCAAGACGCACCAGACCTTGCATGAGATGACAAAGTTGTACGGCCCGATGCTCCGGCTCCGGTTCGGCAGCTCCCTCGTGGTGGTGGCCGGATCGGCCGACGTGGCCAAGCAGTTCCTCCGCACCCACGACGCTAGGTTCAGCAGCCGACCACCCAACTCCGGCGGCGAGCACATGGCCTACAACTACCAGGACGTGGTGTTCGCGCCATACGGCCCCCGGTGGCGTGCCATGCGCAAGGTGTGCGCTGTGAACCTCTTCTCCGCGCGCGCGCTTGACGACCTCCGAGCCTTCCGCGAGCGGGAGGCCACGCTCATGGTGAGGTGCCTTGCAGATGGTGCTGCTGCCGGCGTGGCCGTGGTGCTGTCCAAGGCGGCAAACGTGTGCACGACCAACGCCCTCTCGCGGGCCACGGTGGGGCTCCGGGTGTTCGGCACCGCCGGCAGCGAGCCTGGCGCGGTGGACTTCAATGAGATCGTGCTGAAGCTGATAGAGGTGGGCGGGGTTCTCAACGTCGGGGACTTCGTGCCGGCGCTCCGGTGGCTCGACCCGCAGGGGGTTGTTGCCAAGATGAAAAAACTGCACCGGCGGTTCGACGACATGATGAACAGAATAATCACCGAGAGAAGGACCGGTGCTATTGCTGCAACGGCAGGCGAGGAGGACGGTAAGGACCTGCTTGGCTTGTTGCTCGCAATGGTGCAGGAAGACAAGTCCCTCACCGGCGGCTCCGAGGAGGACAGGATGACAGACACAGACGTCAAGGCGCTTATACTGGTAACTTGGTTGTTGTGACCGTCACTGGTAGTTAGTTTTACAGCAGTGCTATTCGTACGTAAAGTTTGTACAAAATATTTACCTTAGGCCCTGTTTGTTTCATAAGTCCTAGGACTTTTTTAAGTCCCAACTTATAAGTCATAAGTCTCTACATATTTGTTTACAGGGACTTATAAGTCCCGAGTCCCTACCTGTTTGTTTACAGGGACTTATAAGTCCATGTTGCACCGCTGCAACAAGGCTCAGGAGAGGGCCTGTCTGGCGATTGGAGGCACCACTGCAACGAACCGAGGCAGAACGAACCAAGGCGGGGTGGCGACGGGGCGGCGAACCGAGGCAGAACGAACCGAGGCGGGGCGGCAACAGGGCGAGAGGCGGGGCGGCGACGGGGCGAGAGGCGGGGCGGCGGCGGCGATTGGACCGAGAGGCAGGCGGCGTGCAGGGAACGAGCCTGGAGCGACGCGGGGTAGGTCCGGCTCGGGATAATTCCCAATAAGCTCCTCCCTGATAGTCTTATTTGATAAGTCCCAAATCACCACAATAAGTCCCTTGTGTTTGGTTTAGGTGGGACTTATAGGAACTTTTTTAAGTCCCTAAACCAATAAGTCCCTGGAACCAAACACCCTCTTAAAGTAGTATTTTACATCAGCTGTAGCTATTTTTACAGCAGTGCTAGTTCAGAGTAATGACAGTTAGCTAAATAGATGGGGTAGTTACAATGTATATTTTTCCATAGAACTTTTAGTAGGAATAGCATATTTGCTAGTTTTAATTAGCGTGCTATCTCTTGTCTATAGCTTTTGGAAGGGCATCATTTTAAGCAGTTTAGCACACTACTATAAAATAATTTAGTGCGCTATAGCACAAATTTATCATTCTAACGCTTTGGCGTTATTTTTCATAAGGATGTGGCTTGATCTCATATTAAGAAAATTAGACAGAAAACTTGACACGAATTTTCACATAACATCTAACAATACAGCATTGACTATATAAGTCTTAATCGACTGAGATTTAGCAATCTCGTTTCCATAACCTGCTATTTAAACCTTTAATTTGGTGGTAGCTCAACATGGCAAATTCATAACCTTAGTCTCCAATATACTTTCTATGCAGAACTTGTTTGTGGCTGGCACGGACACAACATCGATCACAGTGGAGTGGGCGATGGCGGAGCTGATTCGGCACCCGGACATCATGAAGCAGGCGCAGGAAGAGTTGGACGCTGTCGTGGGCCGCGACAGGCTCGTCTCCGAGTCGGACCTGCTGCGGCTCACCTTCCTCGGCGCGGTTATCAAGGAGACTTTCCGGCTGCACCCGGTGACGCCTCTCTCGTTGCCACGGATGGCCACCGAGGAGTGTGAGGTCGCCGGCTACCGCATCCCCAAGGGGACAGAGCTTCTAGTGAACGTGTGGGGGATAGCCCGTGACCCGGTCCTGTGGCCCGACCCGTTGGAGTTCCGGCCCGCCAGGTTCCTCCCCGGAGGGTCGCACACGGACGTCAACGTCAAGGGAGGTGACTTCGGGCTGATACCGTTCGGGGCGGGCAGGAGGATATGTGCGGGCCTCAGCTGGGGCATTAGGATGGTCACCATGACCACCGCCACGCTGGTGCACTCGTTCGACTGGGAGCTGCCAGCAGGCAAGACGCCGGACATGGAGGAGACATTTTCTCTGCTGCTGCAGCTAGCCGTGCCATTGATGGCCCGCCCGGTGCCCAGGCTGCTCCCATCGGCATACCAAATCGCCTAGCGTTGCTTCACATTCATGGCGCTGTGGTGATCGAACTGGGAGAAGTTGAACTTGTGTGCTGTTTTCAGAAGTTTAATAAGCCAGTGTCACATGGAAAATAACGTTCGTAGGGGTGAGTTTGTGTACGAAACAACATCTGCTTTGTTGTTTTGGAAAAACAACATGGTTTTATTGTCACAAATAAGAGATCTTTGGAATATTACTACTTATTTTTTGAACATAGTAAAGGTGTAAACGCTCATACAAACGTACATACACCCACCCCCTATGAACACACGCAAGACTGAACCGGTGCATTATTTAAGATTGACGAAGTCATCACAGACGTCCTCGTAGTTGACAGGAACATCTCCCACTGAACGTACATTAGAACTTAGGGACAATTTGTGACCCAAACATCACACATGCCTACAAACAAAGTGTCTCACATACAAACGAGCATATGCACCAACAAAGGAGCTTCACCACAAGATTTTTTCATCTTAAATTCAATCTGCACATATCTTCATATAATCGATATTTTTCTACATTAAAAAGACATAGGATTAAACAAACAAAAGAAAACCAGGCTAGGAAATTCCACAATAAAAATAAATACATAGATTAACATGGTTGACCTTATGACCAATATATCTTCATAGTTAGGCATAAACTCTCTTACACTAACTGTCATATCATATTTTTAGTAGACTACGACTAGTCAATATTTATAATTGTACATAAACACCAGCCAACAAATACAATGGAAGAACACATGATTTGCAGCCACAATCACATCATGTAGATATTCATGTATCTTCAACTAGTATCAAATGCAAAATACCGACACGTTTCAACTTTATCTTTATTTATAGTCATTTATTTACATTCTGGTTTTAGGAATGACATATCAATAATTATTCCACATATTATGGGCCTTTTGATTGAAAATAAAGGTGAATGAAAAACATATGAAGAGCAAAAATTCCTTTGGTGACACTAGCAATCCATTTGCTTCAAAGAAATCGAGGACATTGCCCTATCAACTGATATCAATTTCATAGGAAAAGCACTAGATTTATAATCCACTTGGACATCTTTTTTCAGTTCCTACACACGGATATTGTGGTATTTCATTGCATAGTAACATCTTCTTTGTACCTTGTTCATGTCGTTTGACATGTATATAACCGCTTTTATGAGGATTCATAAGTTTTCCTATTCCTGTGAACCAAATATCCGACCCTAAATATATTCACAAATTATTTATTATTTCCAATTTTCTGTTAATCCCATACATAAAATTATTACGTCATAAGAATCTGCAAACCAAGAGGCTCTAAATATGTTTGTTTGATTAGGATTTCCTGTTTAGCGATGGCTATCGAATAAAAATAAAAATTTCCAGCCCCATAATATAAGTACCTATGAAAATAAGATTTAATGTCAATCATTTTCAGAATAATAAATATGATGTCCACACATTTGCGAGGGCCACTTTACTAGTTACCATAGAGAGAATATATATATATATATATAAACTCATAAGAAATGATGACAAAAACTTCGGAACCCTAACCCTAGATGTAGCCAAAGTGGAGAATTAATGGTGCATAAAGTTGACAGCCTACCATACGAATAAGATGCACTGCTCTACCAAATCAATTGTCTTTTTGTTGAGCTACTCAAAGCTTGTGTATCTTAAAGGAAAAGATTTTCAAGTATGCGATGATACCACTCCAACGTGCTTCAGTTGTTGGGTGTACATACCGCTCCCTCGATCGGCTATGTTGTATAATACATACACATTATTCTCTCCTGTAAAATACTAAAATTACAGTTAGTATACTAAGATCAGAGAGAAACACTTCTTGTTTTAGCGCCTCGGTACTCCATCAGTGCTAGCTCTTCCCGAACTGCTAGCCTCAGGTAGAGTTAGAGAGGGAAGGACAGAAATGACAAGCCTGAAAAATAACTCTGAAACTTCCGATAATATACTCCCTCCGTTCCTAAATGTAAGTCTTTGTAGAGATTCCACTATAAACCACATACGGATGTATATAAATGCATTTTAAATTTAGATTCATTCATTTTGCTCCGTATGTAGTCTATCTAGTGCAATCTCTACAAAGACTTATATTTAGGAACGGAGGGAGTAGTTCAGATCAGTTCGCTGTCAACCATGCATGTCCCTTGGATGATGATCAACATTTCCCTCGTTGACATCAGTAAATGATATTATTCTCTTGCTGGAGCAGAAGTCTCCGGCACGTAAAGTACTAATGATGTAAAGCACCAGCCGAAAGAATAAGGAGATCTAAACCAACTCATGGCATGATTGCATGCCTTTTTTGCCCAGCCTAATTAACATGCAAGGGGTCCAACAAGAGACGCACCTAGCAGCACAACGTGCTCAGAGCAGACACCTAACTGATGACATCCAATTCCAAAACATACATTTGATCTGCCAGTTAGGTCCGTGGCTGTGATCAAGGTGTCTGACCACTTGAAACCTGCTAGCTGCTTCTCTGGTCCTGCTATTTTCCAAAGCAACAGTGCACCTTCCGCTTAATTAGGCCCTGAAATAATGGTCGGTAATGGTCCTGCTATGTTGTAAAATCAAGGTAGTAATGCTCGTCCAACCTTTTTCCAAGTTAGGCCCTGAAATAATGAACTGCAGCTTAAACTAAACAACTTTCAGTTCCTTTCGTTGTTCTCTGGAGATGGACGGCAGGCAGGACTCATCTATCATTCACACCCACCCACGCATACACAAGAGATTTGGGCTTATGCTTGCAGGAGGTGGTTTAATCTAGAATACTTTCTGATTATTGCACCATGATTGAAAGGGGATGAGGCAACAGAAATCTGGTGGCCACGATCGTGGAAGCCGACCTGTTCCCCGGACCAGCATACTCCTCCACTGTGTGGGGGGCGGTAGAGAGAAAACTGTTCTTATCTGAAAGATATCGCTAATGATTGCCGTTTCCCGAAGACCATGGGTCCTTCATCCTGAATTACTTCTATTACATTTAATATTAGATAAGTACATCATACATCCGTATCTAAGCAAGTAATTTGGGACGGAGGTAATACTAAGACAAGTAATTTGGGACCAAGGTAATACTAAGCCTACCGACCCGCTCATCATATGCGGCTCTTAGAACATGAATTGTAATCACTCTCATAACTACCCACTATTAGTTGACACTGAATATTATGCTCAGAATTCGTCAGGTCTGGCCATGTGAAACGGTTTGAAGCTCAGTGGTTAAAGGAGAATATGTTTAGTGAAACTGTACAGGAGGCATAGAATGAAGCGGGGCTGATCCGACAATAAATAATATCCATGATGAACTCCATCAGATGCATAGTATGTTCCATGACTGGGATCAAAGGATCATCACTGGAATAAACGTCTACGCCAAGTGCTTTCATCTACGGTGAGTACCATACTGTGGGCTCTCAGCAAATACTGTCTATGTTGAGTGTTGCCCTCGGCAAAGAGAAGGACAGGGCGCAGACATGCCGAGGTTAAGAGCCTGCTAAAATGTCGAGCAGCAGTGGCGCCAGGCCCCAGGCAGCCCTGGCAGTGAGCCTTGTTTTCTTTGTTGGCTATAGCCAAGATTTTGGTTACCCAACACAGAAAAATTACCCTAGGATGGGGGGAGGGGGAGTCCGTGGACCGTGGTTACCACGAAATACCGTTTGAAAATTTCAATTGGAATTTAAATTCAAATAGCTAGTCAAATAGTTGGGGAACTATTATTACACGAAAACTTGCTGAAGGCGGTGGTTTTCCCCTTACAAATGACGTCGGCCGTCTCAAGTTCAAACCCCACTTAAACACTTTGCTTTTATATTTTGTCACATCGAGTGGAATTTGGCAAAAAATACAACAAGGAAGGGATTCGAACCCGCGACGCAACAAAATGCAAGAACCACTAGGCCATTGCTCGACATGTGTTGAAACCGAGTTTCCGCTTTATTTAACTACATATCAACCGTTCAGATTCAGAAAGTTCAAAATTCCTGACTGTTTTTGCTCGACAGGGCCAATTATGCGGGGCGACGAAATTCTCGATAACCTCTCAAAATTGCGTACTTTTGTTCGATAACCAAAACACTGGTTGTAGCAGGCACTCTGACGGAGCGGAGGCCCGTCGTCGGGAGGCTCGCCTCGTGCCAGGGATGTCTAGGGGTGCGGCGGGGGACGAAGCCCCCTGCGGTACGGATCAGTTGCCACCTAGTTCACGTCCACCATGCATATCCTTTGTAAGCCTCCACTTGGTATAAGATCACCGTTGTAAATCCTGGCGTTTGTAACCTCTCACGGTATAGTGAAGATTTGTTGGTTGGCATTCGTGGTTTCCCCCCTTTGTGTTGGAGGGGCTTTTCACGTTAAAATCCATGTCTCCCTTGTGTTTGATTTGCTCTTCATCATTGGTTTTGCCTGTCGTATCTCTAACAAGTGGCATTACAACCTTGTTTATGTCTAGGGTTTGAACGACATTAGCATCAATGAAGTTCGATCTACCGCTGTTGGATTACAACACAAGGTTTTTCCTGTGGCAAGTGAAGATGTGGGCAGTGCTGGCACATCCTGATCTGGATGAGGTGATGGATGGCTTCCGTGGCAAAGAACAGAAGACATGGGCCGATGAATAGAAACGTAAAGGCCGTAAGGTTATGTCTTTGATTCACCTTCATCGATCTAACAATATTTTGCAAGAAACTGCAGCAGCCCGCTGTCTCAACCTGTAGTCGATCCGCATGTCCAAGGACCTGACCAGTAAGATGCACATGAAGATAAAGTTGTTCACACACAAGTTGCAAGAAGGTGGTTCAGTGCTAAACTACTTATCGATCTTCAAGGGGATCGTTTCTGACTTACAGTCCATGGAGGTAAAGTATGATGATGAAGATTTAGGTCTTCTACTTTTATGCTTGCTGCTTAGTTCCGTTGCAAAATTCTGAGATATCATATTATATAGTCATGATGAACTAACTGTTGCGGAAGTAGATGAGGCCCTTCAACAGAAGAAAAAGATGAAAGATATGATAGAGTCTGAGGAATCATCCTCCAAGAGAGAAGGCTTGCCGGTATGAGCTAGGCCTGAGCATAAAAAATACAAGAATAACAGAGATAAAGCAAGAACGACAGAGACCATTCAAAGTCCAGGGGAAAGAACAAATACTGCAGTTACTGTAAGAAAGAGGGTCAACTCATTGATGATTGTTGGAACTGTAGCATAAGGAGAAAAGGAACGGTATGTATAAACCTAAAAAAATCTGATAATGCTTTGTAATAAGTTTGAGTTAGATAATGCTCTTGTTGATTTTGCTGGGTGTGTTTCTTGTCATGATGAACCGTTACTTGGTTCTGCCTATTCGTTTCATATATAATGTAATAAAGATTGGTTCAGTACTTATGATTTTATGCAGAGTGGATATATTTTGCGTATGGGAGATGACAAGCCACATGACATGAAGTGTAGATAAAGTGCATGGAGACCACCAAAACAAGAAAGGAGATAAAGGGTTGTTATGGAGGGATCGGTGGATGCATGGTTTCTCCATAGGGATGTGTCTCCCTTGATCTATGATCTGGTGGATACTCGAACTGTTAATCGTAGAACCGTGCGGCAGGCCTTGACTGATCAACACTGGATTACGGACGTTATGGCCACCACTTCGTTCATGGCGCAGCTGCAGCTCATGCGCCTCTGGCATACCATCGCCACGGTACAGTGATCCCGAAAAGAGTATTCTTTCTCCTAGCTATGCGCAACCTCATGAATCAACTCGGCCAGCTACACCTACGCACAACTTTGCCATGGACAGATCCGTTGCTTGCATGTGGTTGTGGTCTGGAGAAGCTGGGCCCCTCTTAAGTGCAAAATATTTGCTTGGCTGGCCGTGCAATTCCGCCTCTGGACATCCGATAGGCAAGCTCGACATAGACTGCAAGACATGCCATCATGTTGCTACACTTGTCTCCAAAACGAAGATAATGTTGATCACATCCTAGCCCAATGTGTATACGCGAGAGAAACTTAGCACTTATGCTTCGATGTCTTGCATCTTTCCACTCAGATTCCGAGGGTGAGAGGTACATTCATGGAGTGGTGGTTGGTGCAGCGCCAGGGATATGCTAAAGATGATAAGAGATGGTTCAATTCCTTAGTGATTTGCTTGGCCGATCGTTATGGAAGCTGCGCAATGCCCGTGTGTTCAATAGGGCAGAGCAACAAGTGGGAGCGCAGATCCTTGCAGCCAACATCTTCGAGGAAATTAAGGATAGGAGGAGGGCTCACGACGAAGTTGGTGGCTTAGAACAATTTGTGAGAGAGTAACTTTGTTTTTTCCTAGTTTGGTGTGGAGTGAGTGTGTATCTTCGAGGTTAGTCGCACCTCACTAGATCTCTTGTAACATATTTTGCTCTCTTTTATAAAAAAATATGGTACACAATTTGCATACTCTCGAGAAGAAAAACAGACCCATAAATTCATTTTGTTGTTTCATTTTTTTGTCAGCCACATAATGCTCTTTACACTGACTTCATACTCCCTCCATTCCAAAAAGTTTGTCATAGACTTGTCTAGATACAGATGTATCCAGATACGTTTTAAGCAACCGTATCTAGATAAATCTAAGACAAACTTTTTGGGACATAGGTTATATTTGTTAATGTGACCAGATGCAACTGCCTGTACCACAAGATAACAGCACACCACCATGCACCATCATATGTTTCTTCTTGGGTCTGCATCACAAGCAGGCCAAAGGCTTCTGTCCTCTGTTACTACATTTGGAATCAAAACTTCGAAGATAAGAATAGCAATCAAAGCTTGGAACATAAGAAAAATGTGACAGTTCGCCTTGCCGACTTGATGGGCCAACTAGAATATTAAATCAACCAAAGTCTCCGATGGTCATTCAACCCAAGATCGGTGCTGGAAAATAATCAGGTATAACTGCTGATTTATAACCTTCTACATCAAAAACCCCTGCTTTTCAGCGAAGCAGAGGTTCTTATTCATGGTGAATTTACACATGTTACACACAAAGCCGCAGACATCATTGGATTTGGAGGGGGCACTTGCTCATATCTTTACTCTGGATGCCGACTGTGGCTGGGTGCCGTTCCAGCCAGCCAAAAACTGTCAGAGTAGGCGGTCGAGATACTCGTCGACAGTGGTGTACCTTAGGTCGGGGTACAGCTCAGTGGCCTCAACGCCAAAGGATGGTTCAATCTCAAAGTTGGCTTGGTCGCCCCTGACGAAGATGGAGAGCGCGAGGGATAGCAATATGTTCATAGGGAACGTCACCTCTGCATCATTGCATGTCAAGAGAGGTCAGCGGTGCCATTGCAACCATGTACAAAGACCACATAGACAAGTCTGGTCGCATGATGATGGATGTACCCTTGATCATCTTCAGGAGATCCGCCTCCGGGATGCGCACGACATGGAAAGTCCTGCCCACTTTCCTTTCCCACATCGAGATGAGCTCGTTGTGGGACAATATGTTCGCCGGCGGCCTCATGTACAGGATCTTGTTCAGGGTTCTGGGATCGTCGACCGCCCTCACCGTGTAGGCAGCTATGTCTTCTTCCACCACAAACACCGCTGCATGCATCAAGGATCAAAATCAACACATCAACATGATCCCACAATTAATCGACGACGGTGCGAATTTGGAGTGGCAGGAAACGGGATGGGCGTGCTTACCTTTTGCATCTCCATCGCCTAGGACGGTGATCTTGTCGGACGGAGGGCCAGCGCCAACAGCTGTAACATCACCAATGCTCGGAAGGTATGTTTCGGCGAACCCATTGCAGCAGACATATATATGAGGTATACCCTCCGCCTCAATCAGACGGCGAAATTTGACTTTACTAGCGCACAATGTGGCCGCTGGATCAACGGTGTGAACCCGCTCTACATCAGAGCCGAACTCAGATGGCAGAAACCTCTGTACAACAACTACTACTAAGTGGTCAATCTGTAGCCCTCGTTCCATCAAGTAAAAACACAAGCTGATAATCTGACCTTCACATTGCCGGCCTCCTTGATTGCAATGACAATCCTGGTCTGCTCTGCGAGCTGACGGGGCCCCACGGCCGAGATGACGATGTCTGCACCCTTTATGGCATTTACGAGGCTCCCGTGGTCAAATAAATCTCCCTGGTCATCAGACAGATAAAAAAGATTCCACACAGAAAACAGTGACAACAGAGAGTAGTTGAAAGGCAGACAACAGAAAGTGGTATTAATCTTATACCTTGATGAGAGCAACACCGGAATCAGTGAACCTCTTGAGGAGCTCCATCTTGGCTGGATCAGACGGAGCAACATCCCTGATGAGGACAAAGGTCGAGTGGCCACGGCGGGCACTCGCCGCGACGATATGCTTGCCTATGTGACCTGTGCCACCAATTACAAGGACCCTGCTCCTCTCCTTGTCCAGCACCATAGTTCCGGATTCAAATATCGAACGCTCTACTAGCTTAGGTGTGCTGCAAGGTCTTGGTTGCGATTTCAAGTGGTGAGAGGTATTATATATAAGCTATACTGTCGTGCGATATGATGAAGCTGACAATTCCTACCAACAAAACAACCAATTGACAAGTTTCAACAACCCCCACCTTCCCTTTAATTCGCTCGACCTTCCTGTAATAGCACACAATGTCTGCTCTGCCCATGGACATCCCAACAAAACCTCCAGCACAGAAGGAACTCGTCCACATGCATGGTTACTGCAATTAGAAATCATCCTAAACTGCACTTCTAGTCCTTATTTAACCTCAATGATTGTGATTTGTGACATCTTAAAAGATAATAGTGCATGCTTGTACCTTGTTATTTAACATATCATGATGACAGGAAATATTTGCAATAATAGTCACAGCAAATTAAGTTATGTACGACATAATTTTCCTCCTAAAGCAGAGGTGGTGATATTTATGTTTAAGCACCGGAACCATATTTATGTTAATCATCATAAGTACACAACGGGACTCAGGGGGTGTTTGGTTCCAGGGACTTTTTTGTGTTGGGACTAAAAAAAGTCCCTAGCAAACCAAACAGAGGGGGACTTTTTTAAGACTTTTTGCTAAAAGTCCTTAGAAGCACCTCCTTGAGAGTCTTTTTCAAAAAGTCCTAGGGACTAGAAAAAGTCCTAGGACTAGAGAACCAAACACCACCTCAGGGGCACAAATCTGGGATATATGGGAATGCATGCTCCCGTCACATAACTATTACCAGCTACTACACAGGAAATGCATCTCATTACTACTGCTCTTCCTTGATGGCTTCATAACTAGCAATGCAGATACCATCGAAAAAGTCACCTGATGTTTTCTCTTCACGTGGCATTCTATTTCCAGTAAAACAGAATGAATATCAGGATGGACATAATTAAGCAACAGATATCAAATGGGCGCCAAGACAATTGTCCAGAATTCAGTCTTCACTTGTGTCATACTCAAGTGGTCATCGGAGCACTGTTCACGTCATGGTCAAAACCGGGTTGACTCGGCAGCGAAACCCCGCAGGGACGAAAAATGGCTGGTTTCGAGAGTTTGTGGTGCAATATGTAGAGTTGAGGGACCAAAAGTGAGCAGACCGAAGAATTGAGGGACCAAAAGTGAACTTTTCTCATTTAAGAATGCCATGCTTAAACATAACATCAAATTTTTGGAAAAGCCCGATCACTAACAATCAAATGTATAATATAGCTTGATGCCCAAAGTTGAAAGTTAAGAAGTTGACCAGTGACTGCTGCGGCAAATCACACCATGATTCATTTTGAGGAACAGGAAGCTAAGGTTTCAGACTGAATTGATTTGTGTATCAGTGGTCAACGTGATTAAGTTGATAAAATGATGCATCTGTTCAAGCAACACAGTTTCATTTTTCAGAGAAGCTCCATGGAGGATCCGGGTTAAGTGCCTTCATCGTAGCCAGGGCATATTTTCATTATACAGTTCAGAGTCCAGCAAAACAACGCGTTCATCATATAAGGAGAAATGGCACGCGAGCACACGCTACCGACTGCCAGCTTGGATCATTCACTTCTCACTTGTGTCATATAAAAAGAAAATTTGCATCGTGATATATCTGAATCAGAAATCATGCATTAGCCCTAGCGTATATAAGATGTGCTATTAATTTAAGGAATGCCATCCTAAAGCATAACACTATAATTTGGGGGGCAAAAACTGACTATTAACAATCGCATACATTATAGCTTGGGGTTCACAGGTCAAAGGTACCAAGAAAAAAAACACGACTACAGCAGAAAATTAAACCATGATTAATTTTGAGAAACAGGAAGCTATATTCCAGACTGGATGAGTTTGTGATGCTATTTCAATACAAATGGTCAACGTGATGGTAAGGCTAGGCACTCTTTAGTAGTTTAGTTCTTATACATGACGTTTTCCAGCTTTACAAATAGCTGAAAAAGTTTTATTGCTATCTCTAGAGGTAATCCACATTGATGTAATGAAAGCAAAGTACCCACCACAATGACAGAACGCCCCGAGTAATCGACCCGTTTCCCAAGCAGAGTCTCGCGAAACCTTCCCTCTTTACCTTCAATTACATCTGAAAGTGATTTGTATACTTTATTGTGACCATCCCCCGTCGGTTGCCAGCGGGACCCACTATCAAGAAGTGTATCCACGGCTTCTTGTACCAATTTTTCCAGGCACATTACTAAATCTGCAGGCGCTAATTCACTTCTTTTTAATAGATAGGCAAGATTGTCGTTCCGACGGATAACTCTTTTATAAAGTTCATCAATGCATGAAGTCACTACTTTATCTCCAGACCTATAAACAATAGGTCTCATTTCGGGAGGAAGAACCGGTAATAAGCAGAAAACCATCCATTCTGGTTCTACATTTGTTTGAATAAAATGTTTCGACAATTTCATGCGTCTAATAAAATAACTGTTCTTATTCGTCTTTTTCTATCTTCCCACTCATCTCCACTATACCCCTCGTCTTCTAATTCCTTCCATTCAACCAAAGAATTCTCTATAATAATTCGCAAATTCAAATCTGCTAATTGTTCTCTAATAGCACCTGCTCCTGACGCAATTTCCCGATTTCGAAATGTTGCAAAGCCTAGGGTAGAAAAAAAGGGAGAAATGTTGTAGTTACAGGATGCAATTCCTCTTCGAATAAACCTCGTAATCGTAAAAAAGTGGTTTTTTTAGTGCTGGGCCTAGCAAAAGAGAAATCGTTGTATACTAGGCCCTCCAACTTCTTAAGAGGTTTATCTAAAAGATTCGCGATATAACTAGGAAGACCTTTCAAACACCACACATGAGTCACGGGACATGCGAGTTTGATGTATCCCATTTGATATCTTCGTATCCGGGAATCCACAAATTCTACCCTGCATTTTTGGCAAAATCTTTCGTCTTCGTTTTCAGCTCCGCTCGCTCGAGAATTGCCACAAGCGCAAACCCCGCTTTTTATGGGTCCAAAGATTCTTTCGCAAAACAATCCATCTTTTTCTGGTTTATCAGTTTTATAATGAAAAGTAGAGGGCCTTATGACTTCGCCAACGACTTCTCCATTAGGTAGGTTTTTGTTAGCCCAAGCCTCATGCAGATCAGAAAGCAGTGATGCAGCAGAATGGACAGTCTATGGAACTAAACAAAGTTGTTTTTCAGCAGCACCACAAAATGTTGTTATGAGACTATATATTGAAGCTTTAAGGAAAATAACATTTCTATGGAGTCATCTGGCATAGCCTGATACTTCACTATATGTTCACCAAAACTAGCCAACCAAGCTGTCAAATATTTCGCAAGTTAATCGGACAAAAACCAAATGATTATTTGTCTCCATGTTTTCTTACTTTTTTGTCTTTCTTTTGATTCTTTTTGTTGTTTCATCGGTTTATTTTATATAAATCCTGTTTTCTTTGGTTTTCTCTGTTTTTCTTTTATTTCGTTTTTCTTAGTTTATTTCTTCTGTTTTCATTGATTTTCTTCAGTTTTCTATTTGCCTCTTTCTTTTTCACCGGGTTTTTTTGGATGCTTTCTTTTTTGTGTGTGTTTCCTTATGATTTTCATCGGGTTTTTTGGGTTTCAGAACCTTTTTGATTGACATTTTCTGTTTCTATGTGTCCTTTGTATCGTTTTTCTTTGATTCTATGTATATTTTTCATATTCCTGTGAAATATTTGTTTTTATACATGTTAAAATTTTCAAAATATAAATATAAATTTTATCATACAATTATTTTTATGTCCATATTTTTTTATACATAAAAAATTATACATGTTCAACATTTTTAATACATGATTAAAATTTATAAATAGAATTATTAATATTTCTTTCATATACATGCTTCATGTCTATGGTTTTCATAACCATTGTACATTGTCATGTACTCCCTTTTTCCCATAATATAGGATGTTTTTTTGACACTAGTGTAGTGTCAAAAACATCTTAAGTTATGGGACAGAGGGAGTACATCTGACACATTTATTTGATATACTTTCAAAAAAAATCCAAATATACGATTAACACATTATTATAATGCCTCGTATAATTTTTTGAAATTTATGATCATCCGAAAAATTCAAAAACATTGTTTTATGCCATCAAAAGAATTATATACATTTGAAACATTTATTTTATGTACCTTTAACATTTTTCAAATCTATGATTAACTTCACTGTAATGTGCGTAATTTTTTTTAAGAACATTATTTTTTTTAAATGCCACAACATTTTCTAATATTCTATCAACATTTTTCATATAGATTTCAAACGTTTCTCTTATATATGTTTTATTTTTGTTTCAAATATACGATTATATTCTTATAATGTAATATATAATTTTTAAACTTGTAAGTATTTTAAAAATGTCACAACATGTTTTTAATATTTTATCAACATTTTTTAAATTCAGACATCAATTGTTTTACATTATTTTAAAAATATTAGGATTCTTTATGTTATTTTCTTATTTTTTTAGTTTTTAAATAAAAATATTTGCAATATTTAAGGAATTCATAATAAACAAAATAAATAAAGGAACAAAGTTAAAAAAGGAGAAAAAGGAGAAAACATGAACTTACCTTGTATATATCTGGGCCGGCCCATTCCTGGACCCTGAGCCCCTGACGCGGACGGTTGCGCACACTCGCGTCGTGTGATGCATAGTCTATTTCTATTTCGAGAAAAGGCGATGTATGGTCGCAGCCTCTTATTTGGTCCATGCATAGTTCTGGTCCATAAGTGTCGGTGTTTCATGGGCCCAGCGGGCCCTTTGACCTATGGGCTACCATTAATGTCATTTTTTGACTTCCTCTTTTCCACTTCAATTTTTATTCATGTTCGAGTGCTCTAACCTGCGACTAAGAGTCGATTTTCGTGTGGTCTGGCTAGGTTCGAATGGCGCCCGTCCTGTCTTGCTTTTGGTGTGCACTAACGCGAGGGACTTATGGA